ACTCCAAACTAACACACAACCAAATTCTAAACAAGGTTTTACAACTGGCATGCATTGTCTGACCTAAAATGTCACCTTGTTTTTTACACTGATAAAACCTTTCATTCTTTCAGGACCATGACTTGAAAAGAATTTGAGGATTTACATATACATATTAATCAATTAAAACCTTCGAATTGATTAAAGATTTAACAGCATCTTAGATTTGTTTAGTAGATCCTCATCAATGGTGTGAAACTTTGATCTTTTACTTATAAATTCTGTGTCTGATACTACCTCTCTCACTAACACCTGAAGAAGGACTGAGGCTCTGAAAGCTTGTGTTTTCAAATAATGTGTTGAATATAAAAACCAAAAGAACTGTGGATGCTGTAAATCAGGAACAAAAACAAAGTTTCTGGAAAAGCTCAGCAGGTCTGGCAGCATCTGTGAAGGAGAAAACAGAGTTAACGTTTCGGGTCTGGTGATCCTTCCTCAGAATGTGTTGAATATAACCATGTGATTTCTGACTTTATCCACCCCAGTCCAATACCGACACCCTCACATCACGGCTACCCAGTCATGTCATTTAGAATTGCACATTAATATACTAACATCAGTTCCTGATGGGCACATTCCAACTATTGGCACCCAGGAAGTTACAACGGAAGCCACAGAAACACAAGGTGCTTCACAAGTTGCTTCACAAGAAGCACACTGGATGCTGAATATGGAACTTAAGTGAGTGGACAAATCCAAGGGTGACCTTTCAGTGTGCACCAGAAGGATATCCAGAATGATAGTAGTCTGTTGTCACTTGCATGACATAACACTGTTTTGCAGACAGGGGCTAGAGAAGGAGAAAAAGATGATTACTTTCCTTCTTATGAACGAAGAGGAGCCAGAGGTGTATCTCAAACCATTGGTTTCACTTCCAGGGATGCCCAGGGCAAGCAGATTATTTGAACCTCACCTAATCTAAGTGCAGCCACTTGGCACATCAATGCAGAACCCAGAGTGCAACACAATCCCAGAAGCCCCAGCACAAAGCAGTCCAGTAGCCAACAATCTTGTAGAGTGTGAATTGGTGCACAGCTGGGGTTTAAATTGGTAGCCAGGTCATGAGTGCTGGAAGCTCCTGGCACCAGTGAGCATGTTCACCTTTGCTGGGTTTAAGATTTTGTGATAACAGCATATGGAGACAGGATGCTGAATTAAGAGTGTGAGCAGCGGAGAATTGCAAGAGAAAAATTGTTAGGACTCACAGACAGAAGCCATCCATGAAGTTCACAAAGATTGACACTTAGCCAAAGTATGGGAAATATTCAGTCTAAAGCTTGTTACATTTATATTATGTATGGTATGTGATCTCTAGTCCATAATTTTTAATAACTATATGCTGAATGCTACTTTGCTGTTTTGCTTTTGTGTTTGATCTCACAACAATTTCCCAGTGTTAAAACATGGATATAGTGGAAAATAGTCTTGAAAACATTAGTTTACAGGATAATTTGCCTACTTTGTAATGTTTAGTCAGTATTGAATTTGGTTCATGTGTTCAAAAGAAGTCTTAAAATTTGAAAACATATCATACAAATTCTTTAAGTAGGTGACTAAAAATTCAAACCTTTTTTTCAAGTTATCAGTCTCTACATCCCATCATAACACCACATTATTGCTACCCTTCTGTCAAGTGGCTCTCAGCATTGAAGAAAGTGGTATTACAAGAGAGAAGACAAGCATGGGTATCAGTGAGATCAATGGATTGTTGGCTACTGGACTGCTTTGTGCTGGGGCTTCTGGGATTGTGTTGCACTCTGGGTTCTGCATTGATGTGCCAAGTGGCTGCACTTAGATTAGGTGAGGTTCAAATAATCTGCTTGTCCTGGGCATCCCTGGAAGTGAAACCAATGGTTTGAGATACACCTCTGGCTCCTCTTCGTTCATAAGAAGGAAAGTAATCATCTTTTTCTTCCTCCTCTAGCCCCTGTCTGCAAAACAGTGTTATGTCATGCAAGTGACAACAGACTACTATCATTCTGGATATCCTTCTGGTGCACACTGAAAGGTCACCCTTGGATTTGTCCACTCACTTAAGTTCCATATTCAGCATCCAGTGTGCTTCTTGTGAAGCAACTTGTGAAGCACCTTGTGTTTCTGTGGCTTCTGTTGTAACTTCCTGGGTGCCAATAGTTGGAATGTGCCCATGTGGCATCAGCCATGCCCTTAGAGGGTAGTCCTTATCTCCAAGTGTTAAACCCTTTGTTTATGCATGATAATCTTTCAGTGGTCACATACCTGGTGAAGATTATTGGAATGGAATCTGTTTTGATTGTTGGATATTGCTTGGTGATGTCAGCCTGTCTTGATCACTGCATGTGTGCAGTCTGTGAAGCTGTGAAAATTCGACCAGAACTGCAAATCCAAGGACCTTCCCTCATTCTTACCAGCTTCCTTGTATTGAAGTGGAAAGAAGTGGTTGCTTTACAGAGCATGGAATTCTTCAGCTTGGAATTGTGCATATGAACAACAGACCGTAAGATTCAACAGATATCACATGAAGCTCCCTGAAGAAGCTAGAGGAAATGAATTGCTGTGGTAATCTTTGCCACCACTGGCAATGCATGTCCACCTTGTTTATTAGGAATGAGATCTTCTTCTAGAAGACTGCACATTGTTAGTGGTGACCTGACGTGAAGGTCTGAGCTTCACAACTCACTTTTGCTCAACCATGTCCTGAAAGTTAATCTTATTATGTATTCTATGCTAGGAGTGTCAACACTGTGACCATTAGCACTGTGAAGCCTCAGGGACCTGAGGACCAGGCAGCTGGGACTTCTCCTCATGTGCTGCTCCTTTTGTTCCTTTTTACAGTCCAAGGTAGCAGTTTGCATAAATGGCTTCCTCCCTGTTGTTAAGGCTAGTGGGCAAGTACAGACCAAAACAAAGAAAAACCCTGCAAATGTTTACAACATGTTGAGCATCACCTCTGAAGCAGTCATAGCACAGTCTCAGAACAAGTACAGCATCAAAGGTCTGCAGACCTGGAAATCTGAAATAAAACCAGAAAATGCTGGAAATACTTAGTGTCTGTGGAGAAAGAAACTGTGTCAAAAGTTCAGGTATGTGATCTTTACAAGTGCTGCAAGCAAAAGCCTTTCACTCAGGTAAAATAAAAGTTGCCATATTGTTATTTTCAAAAGCTTTCTAGCCTGTCAGTTACTCACCCTGCCAAACCATGCAGTCCTTTTTTCTTATTGAACTGATGAATTCCAGGAAGCCTAGGAAACTTGTGAGTCAGAATCCACAGTTAGATGAGCAGTCAACTCTATGTAGTAACAGAAGCATCACAGAGCTTCCCTATAGTTCTGGAATGAGTTCAATAATGGCATCCCAATATGTTGGCAATTTTTGACGTTTTAACTTATTGCATATATCGACATGAACTCATTCTGACAGATTAAAGTTTATTTATGAAGAGTACATAAGCTCACAAGTAATAAAGTCTTTTCAAGAATAAATTGGTGTTCTAGCTAGTTAATTAACTTCTCAGGGCTTATACTCAATTAATAGCGAGTTCAAATTTTTCTTAAGAATCAAATCAATCCACTTGTGTGTGAAAATATTCACAAACTAGAACATAAAGTCTGTTAATATAATCATTGATGTACTGAATGTTTATTAAGATGATTTACGTTTTCTCTATACTTGGTGTGGGAACCTTGAGTAGTCCAGTACATTTATCTCTCGCTGGGTTCAAATAACACTAAGTCTGTTTCTCTGTCTCAGCTCCCTTGATTGTTCACGTTTCAGTTGTATGAAGGGTGACTATTGTACCAGTTGAGTGCATCCAACATGTGCTGCTAGGTAGAAAAATCCAGAATTTTGACCGAGTGACAACGAAAAAGTGGTGATATGTCTTCAACTCAGAATGGTGTGTGGATTTGGATTGGTAACCGGTGTGTGGTCAGGAAGGAGAGATTACATTGGGACTGAGACACAACCCAAGTGAACATAAAGTTTAGGGTATTTGGAGGCAGCATGGGAATTTTGGTGCAGAGGGGAAGAGATACTTTTTGCTTATTTTTTTATGGCTCATTGTTTGTAAGGTTTTTTTACTAGGACAAATTGAAGCCCAGGATCAGTAGTCCAGCACAAACAAGTAACATCACAGGCATATTGTAAGTTCGTTGGTGATACCTACTAATTTGACTATCTCTTCCAGATCTTTTAGATTGAAGGTAAATAAGGAAAATATTTACAGATTACAAACTAAAAGACCAGTCATAATTTTTTAAAAGTCAAATTAATTACTAAGTAATTAAAATAAGA